GGGGGGTCTGGGGAGGACGGGCGTCTGGGGAGGACTGGGGGTCTGGAGGGACAGAGGTCCAGGGAGGACAGGGGGCCTGGGGCAGCAGTCTGAGAATGGCACTGGTTGGGAAGCGGCCAGGTGCAGCTTGTGTGTGAGGCCAGCCGGGCGGTGGGGCTTGGGAGGAAAAGCTCATTTCCCTGGAAAGTCTTTCTGAGCTCACTACTTTTCTGTCTTGGGCTTGGTGAGCTGGACAGTAACCCAGTGCTCATGAGGAACCAGCCGGCCTGCACCCTCTTGGGGTAAGTCCCTGAGTGGGTCACACCTGCAGGGACGCAGGGCGTCAGCAGTGTCCTGGAGCCGGAGCGGGGAGGACCACAGGGGAGGACCATGGCCAGGACACACTGCGGCAGCATCTCTCACCACCCGCGCCTGCCCTGCACCCACCAGCTTTAAACCCACCAGAACCCCATGATTATATCGGGGGGAAATGCAGACCCAGGAGCCCAGGCCTGGCTTTCTTAGGGCTGAAGATCCCAGGGTGATGGGCAACCTCGGCTAGATGGCAGCTGTACCTGGCACCTTCGTTGTGTGGACAACAGTGGGATGGGGTGGGGCTGCTCGCACCCCAACTCCCCAAAACAGCAACAGAGGCAAGCTGTCCCGTGACCCCTCCTGACCCCACACATCTAGCAGCCTTGGACAGCATGGCAACCCTCAAATTCACCAAGCAAGCTAGCATCTCTCAGATCACAGACGTGTGTGTGTGTGTGTGTGTGTGTGTGTGTGTGTGTGTGTGTGTGCATCCTGGGTCTTGAACTAGGGGTCTGGGCACTGTGCTTGAGCACTTTTTGCTCTAGGCTAGCACTCTATCACTTGAACCACAGCTTCCACTCCCAGCTTTTTGGTGGTTACTTGGAGATAGAGTCTCACAGACTTTCAAACAGCGATCCTCAGATCTCAGCCTCCTGAGCTGCTAGGGTTACAGGCATGAGCCACCGGCACCCAGCCATGAAGACTATTTCTTAAGACAATTTTTATTTTCAAAAACAACTTTATTTATGACATTGCCTTCTGGAAAGAAGTTTAAGAAATAATATTTCCCTTTCATCTTCCCACGCTCACTTCCTCCAATTCCCTACAAATGAAAAAGGGGCAAAGAGCCCTGGGGTGCGAAGCCTTCCTCCCAGCGCCCGGGGAGGTGATCAGCTCAGTGGGGACCTGGGGGACACAGACGCCCTGGGTGCCCGGATGCGAAGCCTTCCTCCCAGCGCCCGGGGAGGTGATCAGCTCAGTGGGGACCTGGGGGACACAGACGCCCTGGGGCCCGGGATCCAGCTCCCAGGGAACTCACATAGCAGGGAACAGCTGCCACATGGTTGAGAGGGGCCTCAGGGGACCCAGTCCGTGTTCCTGGTCCCGGCTGAGGGGCTTAAGAAGAGGTCCTGTCCACCAGTCACTGATGCTACTCACTGGGGGGTGGGGGAAAAGCTATGATGGGCCCCAGATGGACTGTTGGGCAGGGCCAAGGGGACATTAGGACATAGGTCCAGAGCTGGCTGGAGACCAAGAGGAATCACCACAAGAGGTAGGGAAAGGCCGGCTGAGGACTGGCTGGTCCCCAGCTGAGCCAGCGTGCAGGGTGACCGCAGAGGCAGACAGGGCAGGCACAGGACAAGGGGAGTCCGTGGCTCCCTGTGTGCCCAGGACAGGGAGAGCACAGGGCCCCTCAGCGCTGACCGCTTCCAGCTCGGGTCTTCTGAGGACCACAGGCAATAGACAGGACAAGGACACAGAGGCCTTGACCGTGGGAGGGTCTGCCCCGTACCCCACCTCGCATCGGCAGCAGGGTACGTGCTCAATCACAGCCTCGCCCCCTGCCGCGGGGTGGTCCTGGTAACCTGCCAGCCCCAGGCCTCAGTGCCTCTCTCCAGACATGAGCGTGGAATGGGCGCCCCCGGGGAGCCGCCGGCCAGCACGGAGCCAGCTGGTGGTGACAGAGGAGCAGGCCGCCTACTTCTGGAACTAACGCGTGTGCCGGGGCTGCAGCTGGGGTGGGTGGCGGACTGCAGACTCTTCCGGACCTACTCCAGCTGCTCTACATCCAGTTCCTGCCCCCCAGAAAGCCCTGGCGACACAGGGTGTCTCCATTTCCCCAGAGGCCCTAGGAACCTGGGGGCCGCAGAGGGATGCTCAGCTCTCCCCTGACACGGTCCGGGCCTGGCTGCCGCCTCCTGCCCACCCCCAGACCAGAAGAACCTCACGGGGCACCTCCCTGCCTCAGTCTCCCCAGGAGGGCTGGGGTCAAGACAGGACCTGCGATTTCCCTGCACAAAGACAAAAGGCCGTGCGGCTGCAGAGTCTGTTTATTGGGCAGGAGGAAGCCCGGCGGGCTAGAGGCTGTAGCGGGGGCTGGGAGGCTCGGGGGTCCGAGGATGAGGGCCTCACTCTGTGCGGGGGGTGGTGAGGTTTAGGGCTCCAGGCTCACCCTGCGAGGAGGAAGTGCAGATGTGGCATCCACCCTGGACAGAGGCGCTTGCTGCTCCCCACAAGCTGGCCACGGCACAAGGCCGGACAGCTGACTCTCCACCAGAACTTCTATAAACCGGGAAACACCCCACGCCGGCACTACCACCCCAGAGACCCTACCCGTCCCCAGGAGTCCCTCAGTCTTGATGGGCAGGGACAACTCCGCCCCCCAGGCTCTGCCCAGCCCTGGGTAAAGGGGTGGAGGTGACAGGAGGGTAATCGAACATCGACCCCCACCCCCTACCACCATATTGGAAGGCTTAGGGTTCACTGGGTTGTTTAGATCCATGAGCAAGTTAACCCATCCCCAAACCCCCAGGCCCTCTGGCAGGCAGCCCACGAGAGAAGAAAGCAGCCATGAGCCAATCTCAAGCTTACCCGAAAGGAAACCAACTGTAGGAAATTAGGGAAGGGAAGTAAGGACCGAGGCAGGCTACAGAAACATCTGGAGGAACCCCAGGAAAGCCCACAAATCTTCCCCCACCATGCCGGTGACCCTCACACCTCGTCCACCGCTCTGGCTGTTTAAGGGCTCAGGCTGTGGCACTTTAGCCCCAGAAAACCAAGGCAGGCTTCCCGGCGGGGCAGGAGGGGCTTCCAAGAGGCTCGCCAGGCAGAAGGGGGGAGAGGACGGTAGGTTGAGGGCCAGCCTGGCCCAGCCCGCACAGGACACCGGTCTCACCGTGGCCTCCTGGGAGGGGCTGGCCTGGGCCTCTGGGGGTGCCAGGGTGCCTCCTTCCCTGGGGGAGCACATGTCTGTGGGGGAAAGACACGTCTGTGCTGCCTGCGCCCTCCCACAGCCCCCGGCCTGGCCTGGGTCGCTGAGGAGCAGAGGTCACGGGTCACCCAGCCCCAGGGGACCCGGCTGCCCACACGCCCACACACCTGACTTGGGCAGCAGGATCATCATGTCATCCTGAAGCCCCACGGTGGGGTAGAAGTCACGGATGGCCCTCAGGGCCTCGGGGGTGGCGTCCTGAGTCCGGCCTGGCGGGGGGGGGGGAGATACCAGAGGTTTCCTGGCCTCACTCCCCACTCCCCAAGGGTGACAGCTAGGCGGCCAGCTTGGGGGGCCGGCAGGCTGGGCAGCGGGCACAGCCACCCAGAAGACCTCCCAGTTCCTATGAGGTCCTGGTAGTGGCTGGTGTGGCCGGGATGTCTCCGAGGCCATGTTTGCTTTGCTCCACCACCACCCCCCTGCCTTTTCCAGAAGCTTCCACACCATTCCCCCCCCCCTTCCCCCATGTTCACTTGGTCTTCTCCACCACTCCAGCAGGGAGGCCGGCCAGGAAGAGCTCCCCCAGAGCAGGGGAGCCCCGTTGCTGGGGTGTCTGTCCCAGCAGGGCCCTCAACCCCAGTCCTTGCAGACCCAGGCTGGCCCCGACTGATGACTGGGGGCCAGGGAGGGGCAGGCGAGGGACCCCAAGGTACAGGACCTGGGACAGCCGGAAATACAACCGAAAGCAGCTAGTGCTGGGTGAAGAACCAGGCAGGGGAGGGAAGGAGAGGTCTGAGCGGTGGATGGG